ATTCCGGCCCCCCGAGAGGTGAAGAGCATGTGTAGCTCTGTTGGACTTTCCAGCCTGCTCTGTAACACTCAGACTTTCAGGAGGAAAGACAGAGAAAATTTTTCTCGCAGAATAGTTCAAGATGAGATCAAAATGGTTCTGTGCAGCTTCGGGTGCAGTGCAGTAGGAAGGAGGAACCTGTGAGAGGAAAAGAACAGGCACAGAGGTGGAGGTCCTGAAACAGCCAGTGTCACAGGCAGAAGGCCTGTTCTGCTTCTACCAACCCTATAATGAGAAAAGAAGAAAGATTCAGGTAGAAGAGACGCATCACCAGGCTCCAAATCTGTATTCTTCTAGGATTGGATCTCCTTCTTAAAACAGACTTAAGCTACAACTGCTAATGACTGGTCTGTGTGCAAGTGCTTAAGTGCAGTTAAGGAGTAATCTCTAATCCTTCTTTGCCTCAGAGACACATCGACAGTCCTAGCTCTTATGCTCAAGGTCTGTTCTGTCCCTGCAGCTCCCAGCGACACAGAGCACCACAGACAGCATGATGACTCTGACACATTTTCTACTCATTTCTGTATCAGTTTATCCTCAAAGCTCTGTGCCCGTGAAACACTCCGAAAGCTCTGGGGTTAGCCCTGGGCTTTCAAAAGCCCAATCCAGAGCAAAGATTTTACCAAGTGCAGACAAAAAAAAGGAAAGCGTTTTCTAGTCAAGATCCTCTTTAGCAAGACTTTATGTCACATGGAAAAGCACCACCTCTGGGCAAAGGTTTTCCAGTAACTCAGAAGGTGAACCTGGCAGCGGGGTGAGGATTTAGAGCAAATAAGTAAAAACAGTTCTCTCTTATCGTAATTTCTTAGGTAGTAGGGCAACACATGTACCTCTCCCTGTGCTATTGCAGGAGATGCACTATAAGCATGAGATTGAACAAGCATAATTAACATTTACAGCAAGGAGGGCTCCTGTGATTTCTGAATTTTTAATATCAGTGGCTACAGAACTGGAGCCCACTTATACAGAGCTAAAGAAAATGAGACGTGGCTAAGCAAGCTCCATTATTTCCAGCTACAGCCCTGAGAAACATTGGTAATTAGTTTACAAGCATGCAGAGACAAGAGAGCTATTCATTCCCTTCAAGTTGTCTGGTGCACTGCAGTGTTTCTGCAGACTTCTAATTCTAATCCCTATCTTTGGGATGGAAAATCACCTTTTTATAAGTTTGAAAGGTGGCTCCAACTTTTAACCCAAAGGAAATAGCATTTGGAAAGCATGAACACTCCCTAGGGACTCATGTTTTCCTGATCAGTGCATCTGAGAGGATTTAAAAAAAATCCAACTAAAGGAGGCAGTTAAATCTCTGATGTCTGGGCATAATCCAGCACATCATACAGAGAGATCTGCCTTCAGGAAAATTACACTGATCTGCTTGTTTGGACTTCTTAAAAATCGAATGGTCCAGGTTCAAACTTAGTAACAAGTTGACAAGTGTCGCTGACAGAGTAGAACCCAAACCCAAAAGGTTAAACATTGTTACTCCTGACAAGTCTGTAGCACTCAACCTGGTACACCAGGCTCCCTCTAGTGCTCCCAGGCCCGCGCAGCACGGAGGGATACCCGCACTGGGAACCAGCATTAACAGACAGCTGCAGAACAGGCTGACTTTTTGGCAAGGAAACAGGTTTGAATCAGTGTTTCCCTCTTGAATTTTAAATGAAAAGCGATAGAAAAAATTATTAGCAGCTGTACAAAATGTTTTCTTTCTGAGAGTTTTAAAGATGTTTTAAAAAGCATTTCAAAATAAATTACAATTTTTAATAATAATAATAAAAAATATCCCTTGAGGCTCTCTTTCATATTTTTAAAGACACACTTGGCTGAAAAGCTTCAATGATCAAAATGTTTTGGTCACCTTATCCAACACAAAAATAGACAAAGTTGGACCCAAAAGTCACCAGGTGCACATCAATTGCAAGAAGTAGAAACTCTCTTTCCATCGTGCCAAAATGTAAGGAACCTGCCCTGCAGATGATTTTCTGAAGCACGGTAGTCACCTACTGTGAACTAATAAAAGACTCAGGGTACCCTATACCAGCAGTAGGGCTCTGGCATTTCCCATGCAGCTGAAATTCATCTTCATAGAATTGCCAGCAAGAATCATAGAATCATAGAATAGTTAGGGTTGGAAAGGACCTTAAGATCATCTAGTTCCAACCCCCCTGCTACGAACAGAGACACCACACACTAAACTATGTCGCCCAGGGCTCTGTCCAGCCTGGCCTTGAACACCTCCAGGGCTGGAGCATTCACAACTTCCTTGGGCAACCTATTCCAGTGCCTCACCACCCTCACTGTAAAGAACTTCTTCCTTATATCTAACCTAAACTTCCCCTGTTGAAGTTTAAAGCCATTAGCCCTTGTCCTACCACTACAGTCCCTAATGAAGAGTCCCTCCCCAGCATCCTTGTAGGCCCTCTTCAGATACTGGAAGGCTGCTATGAGGTCTCCACGCAGCCTTCTCTTTTCCAGGCTGAACAGCCCCAACTTTCTCAGCCTGTCTTCATACGGGAGGTGCTCCAGTCCTCTTATCATCCTCGTGGCCCTCCTCTGGACTTGCTCCAACAGCTCCATGTCCTTTTTATGTTGAGGACACTAGAACTGTACACAATACTCCAAATTGAATCAAATCCTTAAAATGAGTGAACTGTGATAAAAACCCTGTTGTTTTAATCTCTAGAACTTCCTACCCACTCCAGGGCAAATTATTTAAAATAACATCAACAAAGGTAAAGAAAGTGCTTAATTTTCTGCTGTGCTTTACTTCAGTTACCAGTCTACACTATGGAGAGAATAGAATTGGTATTGCTACAGGAGCACTGTAAGGTTAAATACAGCAAAGAGTGAGAGGGCTTCAGATACGCTGGTAGCATGGCCCTGAAAGTACTGATGAGAGATAGAAACATGTGAGTGACAGACACAGAAAGATTTAACTGTGTTTAAATACTTTTATATAACAAAGATTCAGTTTGGGAACATAACCTTAGGGCAAGACTGACCCCACTCTGCTGCTTCCAGGATTTTCTAGAACATCTACCTCATTACAGTGCTCCTGGGAGGTTGGGTGGTAACTGGCAGGCAACTGCGTTGCTTATGCATTATTTTGGGTTATTGCATATAGTTGAAAAGGAGCTGAAGTGCCTTAGTTGTAGCCTGAACTTCCCATTCATGTATTTGCACATGATTAATGAGTAGCCAAAAAGCCTCAAGGGTTTGTAGTGAAGCCTTTCTAATAGGGAAATGTATAGTAGACAAATACACATTTTGTCCTAAACCAAGCATTCATCAAAGCTGTGATTTGACTCTTATCTCAATTAAATGCCAGAGCTCCAGTACCATCCTGAGATTAGCCATCTGTAACCCATGCTCCTTTCTGCGTTCTGGCTGAGAGGGACATTGTCATTCATTTTCAGGGAACCAGCTATTTCCTTTATCACTAGCCATAATTAGCAGCTGTAGTTGGTGACCTTTGATTGGAGAGACAGTTCATCAAACCTAAGACTACAGTAGACTACTACTCATACAGGACTCAATTCAACAAAGCACATGACACATTCTGAGAGCATCAGTGTGAGTCAAAAGTTTGACCAGAACACCTACACGCATTTTTTGAGAGCAGGGCACATTGGTACTGGGAGTTCATCTATCCCACAGCATGGCTGGAAAGGCAAGGTTAAGCAGCACTGACACAGACCCCCTGTTACACAGTCTGCCCTGCAAGGGATGTGTGAACTGCAAGCAGTCCTGACAGATCTGGGAGCCTGCTATGTTCCTGGTTTAAACAATACTCTTAATAATTTGCTTTAAATATTTAAATCTTCCAACAGCAGACAGAGCCCAAAACTTAGGTCCATTGAACAGGACATTTAGCCAACCTGTCAACAGATGCCAGACATGTAAAGAAGTTGACTCGGTCTGGGATAATAAATACAATTTTGGATAGTTTCTTTTAGAGCAGTTCCTGAAGTGCAGGACTGGATTGAGACCCACAAAACATTTTGCTCAGGTCCTCAAACAGCTGATGAACAATAACACATTTCATTCAGCTTCATTACATGCTGAGCTCAAATCAGTATCTAGGGATGAAAGCAATAATTCCACCTTGTAATGTAACATAGGTGCTACAATGCAATAAAACATTATTGCAAATTGTTAGAATTTCACCTACTCAAAGCACTTTCAGGAAGAGCTTTCAGAGTTGCAGCTTCAGGGTTGAAAAGTCCTGATCTCAAAAACAAAACCCCAAAACCCTCTGAAGAGTCCAGCAGTCACGTGTAAATTTATAACTATGTGATTACTTTGTTTTTAACTAGGGACAAGCAGCCACCGGTTTCAAAGGCTTTATTGGAATTTCTACACTTTATCCACAGCATCTGGTGTATCTGTCTGTCTTTCAGTGAGAGATGGCTAAGGGGAAAGCAAAAGGGAAGAAGATCACCTTGAAAATTGCCAAAAATTCCATCCGGATAGCTCCTGACGGAGCGCGTCGTCTTGACTTAAGCAAGATGGGTATCACCACCTTCCCCAACTGCATTCTGAAACTGGCTGATGTGGAAGAACTTGACTTGAGCAGAAACATGTTAAAAAAGATTCCAAACAGCATCCAGAAGTTTGAGAAACTGCGCTGGCTGGACCTGCATAGTAATCAGCTTGAGGACTTGCCCAAGGCAATAGGTACACTTCAGAACCTCTTCTACCTGAATATATCCAACAACAAGCTGACCACCAAAAATCTCCCAGAGGAGTTGAACCTTCTCAAGAACCTGCATATTCTCAACCTTGGCTTGAACTGTCTTGACAGTATTCCCACCAGCCTTGGGGCCTTGAAGGAACTTCAGGAGATAGGTCTCTTTGACAATTCCTTGACCACCATCCCAAACAGTGTGAAAAATCTTCCCAACCTCAAAAAACTGAATGCAGACAGAAATCCTTTTCCAGATTTAATAGAGAAAGAAGAGTATGCCGACTCCATTAAACGCGTAGAAACGCTTTACTTAGTGCAAGAGAAAGACCTGTGCTCTTCCTGCCTGAAGGTGTGTCAGGGTGAGAAGGACAAGCTGAGTAAGCTAAACAGTGAGACGCCTAGCTCTTCAAAGCAGCGAAGTTTCCCTTTACTCCTTACACCCAATTCCACTGCAAGGGATAACCAAGAAGAATGGAGATTAAAAGACACACATCCTTGAAACATGCTGTGGTACTCCACAGACCATGTCCCATGAAGTCCAGCCCAAGCTAATAAAAAGCTGACCCTCCTCCCTTTTTCTGTGGCTCTCTTTCTTTAAAGGTCTATTCAGCTTTAGAAGCAGCAGATCTCTGTGGTCTCTAAAATGAAATCCAAACCAACTAAAACAGATGGATATTTGGGAAAGGGTGCATTTGGGAAAGGAAGCACTATTTCCAGCTGGTCCTGTTCCTACAATATGTTCTCCCTCTTTGGGTTTGTTTGGTGGTTTTTTGGTCTTTTGTGTATGCACATGTCTGGTGAAAGAATCTTTAAAAAAGATAGTTTTTTCTAGTAACTTCACTCGCACTCCACTGAGCCCTGAACATTAGTTCTGTCCATTTTCATAGGGTGAGACACAGTTGAACTAGTCTCAGTAAATACCAGTTAGGGGAAAAGGAATAGACCTGGAACCTTCTGCTGCTGGTGGCTGCCACCAACCCCTCAGACAATCTCAGATAGGCACTATCGCTAAAGGAACCAATTCAGCATAGGCAGCAGCTACAAATGTTATACTTGGGATTAACTAAGCAGTGCAAATACAATGTTTAGAGCTAAAAACCAGTGATGCTACTTGCCATCAAGGGGCTAGACTTTGCATAAGCAAGTTCTCTGGGATTTTGGGTGCTATACCTGGGTGCAGTAATCTCTAACTTGCATGACACAATCAGTACCACTACCTATACTCGTCACGTTTCATCTGCCTCTGATTCTCCCTCCAAGGAATGTACAGAAGGGAGGATGAGTAGGGAAAAGTGCTCTTTTTAAGGGTCCTGGGTGTATCACTTAAGCAATGTCTAGGAGAAGAAAAGTTACCCTCTTCCATGAAGCAAGAGGCAGCTGGTGAAATGATGAAATTGGGTCCAGTGTCCCCACAGTACCTTTTTTTCACATGTGCACATGCACAAGTACACCTAAGCACATGCATTCACTTCCTCAAATCACATCCCTAGGGCAGAGAGTGCTGACAGCCTGCAAATAGCAATATACAGGTACAAGCAATGAGCAGATTATAAAAGCAGTCAAGCATGACATGAGAAGAGGTGCTGGCTGTGGCTGCAGTAACATATGGTAACAGCAAACATTTAAGTATATTTAAATGAAGAATAAAGTGCCAGGGGCAAAGTACTTGGTTGTCCAGTAACAGGCGATTATTGTTTTTAAATGGCTACAGTAGATTCTGTGAGTCAGAACTGGGTATTATCCCTATGAACTAGGTGGAAAAAAATATATGTCATTTCCCAGAAATATTATCACCTCAATGTCATATGATACATCAAACTATCAATTTCTTTTTTCCATGGATCAGCTGTACCCTTATTAATAGTATGTCTGGGCAAAGAACTTTATTTGGCCTGCCTCCCTGTTTCCTGATCCAGAAAAAGCTGGGATGCTGTGGAAACATGGCCATTGCCCCCTAGATGAGGAAGCAGCCCCTTGTGCTGCTCTTTAATATTTCTAACTCAGAAGAGGCTCCAGAATTCAAGCAAGGGAAAAGTAAACTCACCAAGTCCTCAGTCCTTCAGTTCCCAGACTGGAGCTTGATAAAGGGAAGCATGCCCACTGGGATAATTTTCTCTAACTTTCCACTTAAGAGCAGCTTAGGCAGTGGCAGTGTCTATTTTATTTTAGCTCATGCTCTAATAGGGCCCTGCCAAAGCTATGCCAAAGGCAGCTTACATTCTCAGATATGCTAAAAGTGCATAAGGTCCTCTCTCAGCCAGTGGAGTAAAACTGAAGGCAGAGCCTTATGGAATTCAGGACAGGCTACTTTAAGCCTAGACATACAGCCTGCTTCAATCTCTGAGACATACATGAGTCAAGTGTCTCACAATAATCACGAGCCCCGCTAAAGACCAAAGTTCCTGCAGCCATAGTAGATCTTATCTGAAGATACTCCCACCTGTTGAGCATCCAGCAAGCACAGGGAAAGGAAATCCTGGGGAGAGTTATTGATTACTCCACATTGAACATCTCCATAGAATCAACCATCACCTCTGGCATAGGTAAGGCTCTAGCCAGAGGTGGTTGCACACTGCACTGATGATACTGTTCGTAAGCTGGTGGCTGGTACTGAAGGGTGAAAATGTTCACTTACCAGATCGGTAATGATCTGCAACAGGTAGAGTGAAAATTAAAAAGAATAGTACAGCTGACAGGCCACAACAGCTCATAGTGGCAACCTGCCCCTAAGATCTCAACAGATTCTGGCCTTCAAGTGATCACTTCAGAGGACACCAATTAGTCACTGAGGGTTGTGTTCCTCAGATACCCAAACTGAGAAAAGTTACAGGTATGCAGGTAACTCAAGGTCAGCATGGAACATACTCTCAATCATGTCCCACCAGGAGAAAACTTTTTTTCCCTGCAGTGGTAAATCTGAGGGACAATGAGTTGGAATCTCCACTGCACAGTTACTATAACATGCCGAAACATCCATATGTACATCTATTGCTGTCTGCCCTAACCACACAATAAGGAGGCCATTACGCCGAAGGGTTATGGATTAGCTCTAACCTCAACACACTGTCTGTCTCTTTCCCACACTAGCCATCCGTGTAGAGTTTACTAATGAATCATATTAAGGAGGTAATAATTTTCAATCAACTATGCACAGTCAGCTACTCAACATGTTGTTCATGTTTTCATTCTGTGGAGGCTGCACTTCAGAATACTTTTCAGAGTTCTAGGGATACCTTTGAGTCTTTAAAATAGGGGCACAAAGAGGTAAGTTTCTAGATGCTTTTTTTGAGGTTTAACTTATTCTCACTTATTTTATAATTGCACTTATCTATAGTTATCCAACGTTTCCTATGTTTTACCTTATATTCAGGGACTCTTCTGTTATCCCCTTTGACTTCAAAGCAGGTTGGAAAGAGCAAAATCTACAGAAGACATGAAAGGTCACATTATAACAATGTAAATGGTTATCTGTATACATTACATTCGTATATGTAATCTCTACCATGTCCTGATAGCAACTTTCTTTCTGAAAAGCATTTCACTCTAACTTAGGACAGAGCTGCAAGTCAACACAGAAAAAGCAATAATCTATTAATCTAATAAACTGTTCAGAGATTTCAGGAGCACAAGGAACTTCAGTGATTATTTAGAAACTAACAGTACCCAATCCTCAGTCCAGGATGCAGAATTTACCAGAGGAAGTACTACATACTGAAGTATTTTTTCCTCTGTAAAGGACAGTGAAAGTAAACCTGATGTAACTGCCAGCACTGCAGTAGGGAAAAAAAAAGCGCGAGAAAACAAAGTGTAAATTATTCACTTCATAGTCTTACATTAAAGTTCCATCAAACAAAACAAGCACATGAAGAATTCCTTTTAAACAAAAATTCCACTGCTGAAAGTTAACTCCAAACCAAAACCAAAATCAGAGCCAGAGAGAAAACCAACACCTTATTCCTAAAGAATCTAATGAAACTTCGTATGTTAAAGAAAGCAAAAAACCCCCTTCTTTCATCCAGCACTGTGAAGTGAGATGGAGGTGGCTCTTATCTCAGTGAGAAGCAGCATCACATCTATAATTGCAATGTCTTAGGATGAGACATACAACACACCCCTGGGTGCTAGAAGAGTCCTACATATGCATTAGCTCCCTATTAAATCAATGGCTATATAATCCTCTGAAGAACTTACAGGTCAGCAAAAGAAAGATTTCATAGCTTTGCTTAAGTATAACTCATTAAATACCAAGGAGCTGCAATTGAAGAAAAAGCCCCTGGGGCAGAACAAGACAAACATCTTAAGCCAGGATAAATGATTACCTCTTAAATATCTTATTTCGGTCACTGTCATGGAAGACGAGAAATCTGGAATAACCATTTTTGAAGAATATTTCCAAGGCTATCTCCTGGAAAGGCAAATTTACAGTGTGAAGAGCTGCAGACCAAACTTATTGCTGCAAAGAGTCTGTCATGGCCTGACCAATTCTTCAGGGCTTTAAAAATGAAAAAAAAAAGGTCTTGACTTTGTATCAAGTGTGAAGAAATATAGCAAAATATGCCTAATATCCCAAATTTCTCCAAATGTAAGAATGGTCCTACTGCTTTGACTAGGAATTCAAATGCTTTGAAGAAAAAACAAACTCCAGATATTGGCTCCATCATCTGCCTCTTTCTGCTGCTTCTGAAGCATTTTTCTTGAAATCTCAGTGTGACTAACAAGACGCTAGTAGCATTAATTTATAATTAGGTGATAGAGATAACATGAAAAAGGAATACTAAATAAGAGCTTCTTTGAGAAAGCAACCACACTGCTTTCTAAAGGAAGAGCAAACTCAAGAGAAATGCCAAAATAGTTTCTCCTGGCTAGAAGCAGCAGAGCAGGTATGGGAGTTTCTCTCTGAAGCTTTAAATAAACAAAGTCAAAAATTTTGTCCCTTTTTTTCCACATTTCCACACATTGCTATACTGGGCATTTGCATAGAATCCTATTATTTTCTCTGTGAGTGGTCCTTTTCTCTCCAAAGTCAGTCAAGTAAAACCCAGACATGAGTTTCAGACCAAATGTAGCAGGCACAATACAAACCTAGAAAAACACCACAATGGCAACTGGCCCATACATGATTCACAAATGAAGTAGAATGCAGAAAGGTAATATGAGAGCAGCTACGACAATAAACAGCTTACTCCACTTTCTCTGAAGCTCAGCTTTCCAGACCAAGCCTGCTCAAGTGTCACCATTACAGAACTGGGCCATGTAGTTTCACAGTGCTTTGCTCTGAGTTGGGTTATATGCATGAACAGGAGATCAGCTCTCTGAGGCACAGCAGCTGCCCAAACAGCTGATCCACCTGCCCTGGTGGGAAATCACAAGAAATCAGTTTTCTTCTTTTACTGCAATAATTTTTTCAAAGCAATTTGTGGCATGGAGTCCTGGTACAAGAATTTGAGAGCCTGATACAGATACCTGTGTTTTCAGTTCATTAATTGAAGCAAAACGAAACACAACAACAAAATCAAAATAAACACTGCAATTATCAAAATAATTCCACTGCCAACTTTGGTGCTATTCACAAACCCAGAAAAGGTTACAGTTCTGCTCTTCAGGTTGCTCAGCAGTGATGTAAGAAAATAAGCTTCATGCAGTTACTCAGAACAAGACTTAACATTCCTATACATGCTTAGAGAATGACCTAATCACTGAAATATGTTATATCCTGAATCAAGTCTCACCTACTAAAATTGTCCATTTTGTGTAAATAATTAAATATAAAATAAAATGGGGCTGAGTCATGGGTAAGGGCCATACTTATCAGCCCTTTTCCAAAACCCAAATGTCACATTTTCCAAATGACTTCTTATTTGTGTTGAATTTCAACCTTCCAAAAACGGATTCAAACTAACAGGTAACTAATTATGGCTGCTTCAAATCTCCACATTTTTTGTCAGATAAAATCTGTGAATTACTCTTTAGACTGTACCAAAACCCTCTAGAGCAACTACAGGCTCTTGTGCCTCTGCTCCAACTTATGATTCATTTATTGACTCACTTACACAACTTGAAAGTTATTCCAAGAGGCCTAGAGTAAGTAAGTTACACATACCTATAAATCCACTGATGTCCAAAATTACTGAAGTCTGCAGGAGCTGAGTGTTACTGAAAGTTAGACACTAACTGGAAGCTTCCATTAAACACAGGAAATCGACTTTGTCTTATTCTCAAAAACATGGAGATAAACTGTGAAGAACATTGTTAGCCTAACAACTAATAAGCCAACCACTCCAGTGAGGGTGCTTAAACACCCTGGTGAATACAGGAAGGAGTTTGTATTACCAAAGGCTAATGAAGCAATGATGGGAGCAAAAGCATTTTGGGACTCAAGCAAAGAAACCTCAGCAGTCTTAGAAAAAATCATGCAAGTAGTTTTCAGCCACAAGTCGTTACTGCTGCTGCAGCTTTCCCTCAGATGACTGAGGCATCAGTTCCATTAGTGTTTCTTACCTGCAGAAGAAAGCGCATCAAATGAATCTCTTTTATATCATGATATGAATAACGAGAACACGTCTGGTCTCCCACAGCATGATCTTTATGACATAAGTTGAAAATAAATGGATCACTGATGCTGGAAGTGAAAAATATAAAGAAAAAAAAATAATTTGAAACAAAAAAAGATTAGGAGAACCTTCATGAACTTCCAAATCATCCCTAAAAATGAATAAAATTACTAAGATAGCAAGATCAACTGGGGCATACATGAATTGAAAACAAAGCTAAATACTGAAGGCAGATTTTGTACTAGTTCACAAAATGAAATAAAGAGCCTGTGGAGTCTAAGGGTAGGTTTGGAATTATTTTAGTGCATGCAAATAGGCAGACAGCAATGTTTTGCACGCACTGAAGTTTGAGAAGCAGCAGGGGAAGGAACTGGGTAGGAGAACCTGAAAACCTCGGTGAAGAACAACCATTATATGGATGCACAGCTATTATAAATAGCAATTAATTGGATCTAATAATTAAGCAGTTAATTCATTATTACTTTAGTTGTGTATATGTGCTGCTGTTGCTGTGTTCAGCCTAGCCCATAGCAAATCCCTCAGAAAAACAACCTAAGCTTTTATCGGATCCAGTTCAATTGATCCTTAAGTCACCTGATCAGATCGACTGATATTGGACTTCATAAGAATTAGATGTAGAGCAGACAGTCAGGGAGCAAAAACACTGAGTTATTCGCTGTCTCACTAGGCTTTGCACATGAGCACACAGTATGTGCAAAGAGCTAAGTCTAACAGACTCATTTTCATTATTGATCAGTTTCAATAAATCATGAGGCAAAGATGATAGTAGTGTGCCAAATATTAATCATAATTCTGTCTTGGAGAAACAAACAAAAATCTTATGAGACAATGGAGCTAAAGGCTCCTGTAATGACTGTTCCATATGAATAAAAGCCAATCAGAAAGAGACATTAACAACACTAAAAGAATTGAAAAACAGCAATGTATGTGTTAGACTGCCCACCATCTCCATCTGTTGGAGATGAGAGTTCACAAAGCTGGTGAACAAGCACCTGTGTTAGTTATGTTAAACAATTCTGTGAACAGATGGAAAGGATGGCAAACTTCTTGTTGTGCTAATATCCCTCTTGAAATTCCCTCAAAGTCTGTGCAAATTCTATGTATCCATGTGCCTCTACTGAAGTTTAACAAGCAGATCCCTGAGAGGAAAGAATGACTCACCTGGACAAGCAGTGACGTGTGCAGTACACTTCCTCTAGAGGGGATAACACAAAGCACTCGCAGATGTAAAAGTGCTCTTTGCCAAAGAGCAGCACTCCTTCCAATGCTCTATGCCCCTGCACAACTGCCACAGAGCACTTGAATGTGACCTAGTATGGAAGCAAGTATAATGAAGGCAGGGGTGGGTAACACAGGAGACAGGGACAGCAGGGAGCAAGACTCATTGGTGCAGAAGGACATACATATGTACTAAACCAGCTGTCATCTTGATTGGGAGGTCTATAGGAATGCAGCCACAAAATCACCATATGACTGACAGTGCATGCCTCTGTGTTACTAGTAGTAGGAGGGCCTGATGCTCTTTCCCCCCAGTAAATCTTTTTCTTCCCCACCTCTCTCTGGCTATATTTAGCAACATCACTACAGAATATGAAAAGCTTGCAAATGTTGCAGGAGTTAGCATTGCAAAACTTTGTTAGACAGCAAATATGGACAGTTATATAGGCAGGGGGTTGAAGCACTGAGGAAACAAGTGACTTACACAGCATCATACAGAAAAACAGTGGCATATAATAAATAAATGTATATTTAGAATACAGAGAAAAGGCAAATACTTTTATTCAGATCCTAGTGAAATCTATACTTGAAAAAACCCTGCAAAGGGATCCCAAGGAGCAACAAACAAGGAAAAAATCTAATATATCTTCTAAATATCTAACTCATCATGGCCAGATGAATCAGCATAGGATGGATTGAAATGTCAGTAACAGAAAACTCCTTGCATTGGAACTTTTCCTTCCTATGTTATACAGAAGGCCAATCAAAATATATGAATCTATGATTCTAGTTGTCTTAAAGCATTCTAGAATAGTTTAAAAACCTCTCTTGACTGTGCCCAGTTTGGAACAGAACTTCCAACCAGTATCTCCTACATTCACAGGGAAGGAGGCAGGAGCTAACCATCAGCCTATTAGCCTATCTCAGATGAAGCACCCTCTATTTGCAAAAATCCTTTCAAATATTCATACTACAACAAAACACTAATGCTCCCAATATCTTAAAACATAAATACTACCTTATGTACTAAGAAAACTTCTCACTGCTGAGCTCCGCCTGTAAATCAACACAATCCTGAACTATATACAATCCAGAAACAAGTGTAGAATTTTGCATCCTGAGTCCATCTGAAACTGCCAGGACCAAAGGGCTGCACAGAGAGGTATTAGATCTGAGAGGTATTTACATAACAGGAGAAGTCTGCTGGTTCAGAAATCTAGTGCAATGCTCTTGAGAGAACTGATTGACAAGTATGAGAAGTATCACAAGGTCTGATTTTTCTCTTAAGTACTCAGTGATCTCAGCTCTACTAAACTTCATAAGAACAAGGGTTCTGCATTATTTTTTTGCATGCAAATATGACCCAAAATAGCATTGGTTCTACTACATCATGTAAAGTCTACACGATGATGCATATCATAAGTATGGTTCTCCTTCGCTTTTTGCCTTTGTTGCTACCTCACTAGTTCTGGAACCAAGTCTACAACCTTCCTTGCCTCCATCCCAAAATATACATAGGCTAATTCATGACAGCTGAAACAAGCCTGCACTGCTACACAAGCTTTCAGTCTTGGATGCCAGCACAACACAAATTATAAATTAATAAATCATTGAAATAAAATCTTGTTTCTGCATTTAATTTGTTTTACTGGAAAGCAATTATTTTACCAGCAAAATGGGGGGCTTAATTTTTAAATTGCTTCATGGGCACAGAGGGTTGTTTTTATTCTGGATTTACAAAAAAGCAAACAACCATGGAAGATTTCTGAGAGTAATCTTTGCTGAAAATTCTTTCAATCTCTTTGTCTTTCCCCTCTAAATTAATTCTAAGAGGAAGCTGGCATTTTTCCATCACCTCTCCTGCAGATCCCAAAGGAATGCCTGTCTCTGTAGACAGAAGTCTCTGAACTGAAGTGCCTCTGTATGTGTGTGCTATTACGTGGTTAGAGGCATGTATGCTTGTGCTGAGAGTACTGGGGAATTCTGCTCACATTAGCAAACCACAGGGTTTCCTGAAATAATTAAATAGCAGAAAGATCTCTTCTTCCCAGAAGGAAGGTAACTGAATATTGAAACATCAGGCAGTTGTGTAAAATAGCTCAATGGACACAAAGCTGAAATCCAGACCTCTAAGAAATCCACTTCAGCAAATCCAGCCCCTGCGCCAGAGATGACGTGTGTGGTTTTGGGAGGCACATGGATTCTGAAGGGGGTCTACTTATGATTACTAATATGGTCTGGCACTAACCACTTTGTTACTCCACCTAAGGCAGGAGCAGGACACTTTAGCAGGCCTTGAGGGAGAGAGAGCAAGTACTTCTCTTTCTTAAACCTTAAAACTCTAAGCCCCAGTACATTGTCTTCTGTACTATTCAACCAGTAACAGCCATCAGTGCCAAATCCGTTTCTTCAATTTTATGTTATCACCCCCAATAGAATTAAATACATCTGCACTGTTAAAAATACTAGGGCCCTTGGGCTGAGTCAGTTGTTCTCATTTGGAGAACAGGGCTCATTTTATTCCAGGTGAGTAATAAAGATCTAACAAAGAGGTGTACTACAGAACCCCTATCACAACAGTCTTGTACCTAGTCTTGCATTGAAACACCAAGCAGCCTGAAATTACCACAGATTAAATAAAAACTTCCCTTTTCTGTCTAAACAGAACAAAATCCAGTTCACCAGCCACTAGAATCATTAATCAATGAAGCAAACATGACATAAAATAATTGAATAATTACCTTCTAAGGTATTGCCCAAAGCCCTGCATCTCTTGATTGCTCTGTTCATTCAGATGTAAGAGGGAATTAAAGGCGTGGGGATTTTTTTTTTCTTTCATTCTTGTTTCTCAGAAGACTGTTTGTAAATGTTCCAGTTGCATTTAAGCAAATAGCAATAAAAGCATATCTCCTCTGGAGTTAAAGAGCCAGATTTCCGAAGGAATTACATGATGCAAACAGTCTTCACAGTTTTCAAAAACCCTGATGGAGGTTATCATTAGCCATCTATTCCTGCAGACTCTAGAGTGTTAACACGGCCCCTCCAGGGAAAAATACAGTGCAAGGAAATTAAAATCACAAAACCATTTTGAAGCTGGAACACATTTACCCATCCCACACAAATCTTCTGAGCAGAGCATTTTTACAGAATAAGGACAAAAGAATGGCTACTCCATGTCAGTTCAGAGGTCCATCTAAATAACTATCCTGCACCTTAGTAACAGAAGCTTATGGAAAGAGTATAAGAAATGCACTAGGTATAGAGTGATTCTTGATCTTGATATACTTTCTCAACAAGCAGTGGCGTCGAGGACTTCCTAAAGCCCCTTCCTCCTCCTCCTCATTGTCACATCTTATGTTTTCGTGTAAACACTCACAGCTGTCTCTAATCACTTGCTCAGCAAAAGCTACCATAACTTTGCATGATACACATAAAAGCAACACATTCAGATACCATTGTATCAGGAATCACGGAGATGAAACCTGTAGTTATATACTCTCTCTGACCTTTCTGTTGTGTATTGAGGGATCCCAGGGTGCACCAGCTACAAAGAATCTGTCAGTAAGGTAGGGTCAATGTTATTCAGGGCCACGAAATTTAAAATGATTACGAGTAGATGAAAGCAAACACATTGCTTTCACATCTTTTGCTAGGGAAGCAGGTATGTGTTATTATGGCAAGAGCAATACAGGTCTGCCTCCTCTCTGTGCTACTCACAAGACCTTTCCTGCAACGATTGTTGGTTTGGTTGCTGTTTAAGTCTCATCTTACTTTGAAACCATCACACACAAGTCTCATAAATCATAACTTAAGCATATATGACAGGTTGCTTCACTCTTACCAGCTGCTCAGTGATCAAAGGAAACTAAATCCTCTTGACCTAGTCTTTAGTGCTGGGGGCTCTAGGCTCAAGTTTTGTTGCATCTAAACTGTTGCAAACATGAGATCAAATTTCTTCTGCTCATTCTTGAGTGAAGCCATTTGCAATCACTAGAAAGCAATCCTTCCAGTCACAACTTTGCTTTAGAAGACCCAGGACACATCCTTTTTATTGCAGATAGCCTCCACTCATCCTCCCTCCCTTACTTCACTGGAGCAAAAACTTCAGTGAGAGGTGTTTCTTCTGTGTGCACTTCTCAGGTTTTAGCAACTTCCCAAATGTTGCAAAGAAAGAATATCACATATCTGGGAGAAAGAAGGTGGCAGAAAGTGCTTCTTGTCTTGTACATGGTTGTAGGCACTGGGACTGCTCTTTGTGCTTGTTTTCTGTAATGAAAGCCGACATCTGTCCCAGCCCATCACCAGCCTGAGAGGCTGGCACCCCTCCGCTGATGATAGCATCTGGAAAACGGTTTCAATCACATTGTGCTCATACCTCTTGCACACCAAGACATCTCTGTCTCACTGCAGGCTCCTCTCAAAAAGAAAATGCTGCCAAAAACTAATATGAGCCTTTAAATTTCCCTTTAGTTCAGTTCACACAAGTTCATGCCCTTCCCACTTCTCCTATGACTCTCTACGGAAGAACCTCAGCAAAGTCTGCCTGTTCTTTTCCTTGCTGCATCATTCTACAGAAAGTAAGTGTTAGGGGATCAGCTGTGCTTGCTTGAGGTGGCAGTCAGGGCCTCCAGTTTTTGGAGCTCTGTAGAAATCCAGGGAGCAGCTACAGCCTTACAATTGAAAGATATTTTTCATTAAGGAAAACACTTAAAAAACCCAACGAAACAACCCTCCCCCCCAAAAGAAACCAAACACAAAAAACAACAAACAAAACAAAAACAAACAACCCACAAAAAAAAAAGAAAACAACAACACTACCCCAAACAAAAAAACAAACAAACCAACCAAACCAATCCAGAAGCAGATATGAAGGGAGAATACTAGGAGGTATATCCATGGAGCACAAAGTAGTATGGTGAAGGAGCATATCCAGAAGAGCAGAGATCTGGCTAAAGATGCTCTGGGGTTTTTTTTAGTGACACTTACACCATGAGTCAAACCCTGTCCTTTGCACCTAACAAAGTTATTCACTGAGCTGCGGTAGGGGTGGAGGAGCACAGACTGGGGAAAGGGCTCCCAGCAGCCTCTCCACTGCAGCAGGAACCCAGATATGGCAAGTCAGAGGAGTAATCACCTGCCTCACTATGTGTCCTTCTTCAGACACTCCCATCTGAACACAGGCAGAGTTTCACACTGAAAACCCTCACTACTGCTTAGCACACCTTCCTGCAGTAGACTAGCCATCACAACCTCTGCTCCTGCAGCAGGGAGGGAAGAGGAGAAACTCAGACGCAGAAAAGGGAAATGGATTGACAAGGACCTGGCTTCCAAGTCCTTTGCTTTGACCATATAGCTAGGCTCTGTTCCCGCTGCACGTCAGCATGTGTAAAGTTCTTTACTGCTGCATCCTCATACTGGGATAAGGTGTAAGAGTGCTCCTGTGAAAACAGCGTGCTTTGGTGTTCCGCTTTTCGCTTCCTGAGAAGCGCAGAGGGTGTGCTGACACTCCTAAAAACACTGGCTCCACCAAGTGGATGCAGACCCGCTACATCATTCTGCCAGTCCTAAATGCTGAACTTGACAGCTGCTCCCTCTTTCAATTAAGCCTGTTCTTTAATCAGCTCCTTTCTCCCAGTCATGGAGCCTACTCCCTCTGATTTATGCTAGTCCCTTCTATTATTGCTCCTGGCATCTCCTGTGATCTCTCCAGCCCCTCTTTCAAGGAAAGGCATTGTGCCCAGATTTCTGCTGGGCCATGCCCTTTTGTTAACTTCAGATTCATTACCCCAGCTGCTTGGATTTCTTAGTCTCGAATGACTTGCTGGCAAACAGAGATTTACTTTTTTCCAAAATTCAGAATTTCTACACCAAAACCATTCCCCAAGCCTTCCAACGCTTTCTTCATCTATTACATGTTAACCACATAATAACAACCTGGCAGGACTTTTTTAGGGTTGTAAAGACCAGGGAGACAAACTTGCAGTCAGGGGCTCAGATTGCAGATACAGGAATCCAATCTCCCTGTCTCTGCTGGTAAGCTAGGGTTATTTAAAAAGTTGGCTCTGGCTTTTGGTTGGCATGTTGATACATGAGGCCAAGCCGGGATCCTATTTGCATTTTTGCTGCAAAATTCAGCAGCAATACACGTTGTGTAACATCATCCACAATGCATATAACCTCTCTTTTCAGGCTTCAGGTGTGCGCAGTCTCAGTAGACTAAAGATACTTGCAAAATGTAATCCTCACCTGTACAACTTCAATGAAGTCTCATCAAAAAGTATAACCAAGCAGCCAGAGTATGACAGTTTAGTAACTTCTGAGGGGGCAGCCCTAACAGAAACACCTGTAAATCTGTACTTGCAGTCTGATTCATTTGTCTACTGAATTACACACATTAATTTGTGTGCAGGAATAAAACCACCTTCTTGTGCTTTGGGCATAATACCACAGATACCACCTTAGTGTAACTACAGCACCAATGCCAAACATTCAGCAATGTCATGACTCGATTCCCAGCTTTGAGTTCAAAGTCACATTTGTCCCAGGCACACCATGAAGAGTCCTCTTGCCCAGCTTTCACAAGTGTTCCCTGCTGGGGCCATCTGTAAGGGAGGAGGTGAAGCAATAGAATATCTCACCTACCAGCCCACCATTATCCTCTAGTTTGCAAGCAACTGCCCTGAGCCTCCATCCCTGCCATTGGTCTGCTATTCTTGGAAGGTCTGATAGATGCTTCCATTTTCAAGCTTTGGAAATGACACACAAAATTTAGAAAAAAACATTATTATGATTGCAAAATCATACCCCTGGATGTCAGCCTGAATTCAGCCCCTTTGTATACACATTATGTTGCTATGTAACCACAGGATTAATTACTATCTTTTCATAGAGTCTGCTCAGGAGGGACATATTCTAGTGATATATTAACACTGTGTAAGGAAAATGACTGGAGTCTATAGCATTCCTGCTAGCTGCAGAACACAGAAGCTACAGTTACCCATATTACAAGGATACCATCTGGAAGAGACAGACTTATGGTCAATACAACTAAACACTACTTTGAAGGTATGGATTTGGATATACACACCTTCCACTCTTTGTACTGGTAAAGCAGAATGGACAGTCTTACAATAAAATCAGCAAGTGATTATGTCATTAAGTACTGCAATTGCACAGACCTGGCATTAATATATTGATTTCTGCCATAGTCTAAATTCAGAATGTTTGACTCTGAAATCTGGGAAATGCATTCCTCTATGGGTAGACATTGCTTTTAAAAAGGGACAAAAAAAGAGGACACATTTAAAGGCCTCTTTTGTATGGTCTGAGTTACGTTCAAGCATGCAGAGCATGAGTGCTCCCTCATATGGTTAGTCCCCACTCTCTCAGTGACTAACCACTCAGTAGCATCCTTTAGCCTATATTCAAACTATATCCATTTGCTTTCTCCTTTATAGTCTCTTTACCTTGCTGTCCACGTGGTAAATTTATATTGTTTGAATACTTACATTTATTTTCAGAGGAATACCTAGAAACGTTTTCTGTGTTATTTTTCAAGTAAGATAAAACAAAAGATTAAATGACATTAGCATAAGAACACCTGCACCCATATTCTTCAGACTTAACTTGCTGAGAAGCAGACTCTGAACCAAGTCTCAATAGCATCTGTTCTGCTGCTTCTGCAAAAAGCCATCTCATGTATTTGAATATGTACAAAGGTGTCCGTGTAATAGCAATGCAAAAATATAGTACTGGATGACATTATAGAACAACTATCACTTTCCAGACAAGAGCTATCCCTGTGTTCCAGAAATCAATCTAGTATCTGCCAAAGCATTGCAATGACTTTCCCGTGCAGTGTAGTAGGTAAGATAACCGGTTCCAGTTGCCTGCTTAAAGTGCAAACAGCTCACGAGGCAGCTATTTACGAAGCAGGACTGCAGAGCACTAAGTGAGTGCAGGACAGCTAATGTCACCCCCTACTGCCTTTTTTAATACTTCTGTCAGTTCAGCTACATGGCAACTGCTGCTGGAAAAAACATGCCTGGTGTTTCTGACAGCTTCCTGCAGAGTTACATGGAGAAGAGACAGACAGCCTGAAGGCTCAAAATGAGATCAGCGCACAGAAAACATGCCTCACATTTTCATGCCTGTCTCCTTCTGCTGGAGAGAAGAGGGTGAGGGGAAAAAAAGGAGGAGGGGCAGGGAAATTAATTATGTTGTATAGACAGACAGTGTACCAACAGCTCTAATAGCATGATGAAGCCTTCATGTTAGAGAACATGAATGTGACCCCTGGCCACCAGAAAAGCACCAAGAAAATTTGGCAATGGTATTGAGACATAAAAATAAAATAATTATTTCTATATGTACAACTATCACAGCACTATGATGGCTGAGTCTAAATACTCCATGTCTGACCCTTGGCTTCCATTATGGCATGCTAACTCTTGGGCCAACAGGGGAATGATGCCACTGGATGAAACAGATACACTGCAAAAAATCAGATCTTTCCAGTACTCATGGGGGAGCAGAGAAGAAAAAGGCATGTGAAGTGAGGAAGAA